GATGGATGGATGGATGGATGGATGGATGGATGGATGGATGGATGGATGGATGGATGGATGGATGGATGGATGGATGGATGGATGGATGGATGGATGGAGTATTTGCATATCTTGATATCACAATTTCCACAAAAAAATCAAAGCGCTGTGACAGCAAGCTGTGATCTGTTAGCTGTCAGCTTGCCTTTATTAGCTATTCCTTTCATGAATATTGGGAAAATTAGCATATTACTTTTACCTTTATCTCTTTTAGACATCTTCCACTGGCCAAATGATATATTGAAAATGTTTGTTTAAGTCGGTTTGGTTTAGTCGAGCTGTAAAATATCAAAATTGGGCATGTAGGGGACAACCCTTCAATTTCTTACTTGGCTCCAACATGAAATGGCAAAACCCTTCAGTGAAGCAAGAGCAGATGCTGTTTTTAAAATATGCGCAGAGACAGATTTACAGAAGAAAAATGTAGAACTTTATATGATTAGTAGTTTTCTGACATGGGACCATTTGTGTCAGGGATATGTTTAAAAATATATATATTTTCAAAAAGCACAATGCTGAGACTCAATTTTGAGGTAAAAAAGAATCACCAAATAACCTGACATGCTTCTTTTTGGACAGTGGAAGGAAGCCCTAACACAGAACATGCCAACATAACATTTAATACCAACATCTTAGCACATATATATGATATAATATACTTTGGAATTATCACTGTGGCAAAATATAGCATCCAATGGGTTAACAACACTGTCCCTGTTAACCCATTCACAGCCAATCTGCAGAGAATCCATTCAATTTCAATTGGCATCTGTGACATCGTAAATGTTCAACTGTAACTGAAAGGAACGCATCTGCATCTGTAATGCACGATGAGCCAGTGGGTGCAGGGATAAAATCTATTGAGACACCAGCGTAAGAGCTCAGTTTAACAGCCCAAGTCACAACCCATACAACCGTGCTTTCCATTTGGGCATCTTGTCTTTTCTGACAAACATGCAAAATCCATATGAACTGCCCTCATAAAGCAAAGAGCTATTGGCATGCCGAACACGGCGTGGCGAGGGCCAAGAGGCAAGCAGACTCCCCCCTTCCCTCTGCATGCTGATCATTAGAGAGACAAAGTGGGGAGAGCGTCAGAGAATGAGAGAAAGGAGGAGAGAGGCAAGAGATGCAGTAGTGCCAGCTCCCCAGCGGCTCAATCACATTTAATGCCTGGAAAGAGCTAGATGATACTGTCTACTGGGCACTGCCGTTAATATCACCAAAAATGATGGCAACACCCTCCCAGAATGACAGGTCTGCAGTTTTCGAAAGCAACAATAGTATGACAAAGTCGGCCTTTGCCTTTGTCGGCCTTTGCTTTCTGTCTTCCCTCTCTTCTCGTTTGATATACACCTCAAATTGTCTGTCTCTCTTGCCCTCATTCCATCTTTAACAGCAACAAAGGGATTAAAAAGAGATTACTTCTGACATGTCAATGTGATGTGCCTGCTGAGTATAGTGCTTTTTTCTCTTTCTCATGCAGTCCCATATCAATATGATACAGATACACGCATACAAAGGAAGAGGCTTGCACTGAATGATTTTCAAAAGCAAAAACGTATTAAAAATGATTAAACCGATAAGAAACTATCAGATCTCTCTATTTCGAAAGCAGTGGATGCAGTTTCAATTTCCATGAAATGACCACACCTTTAGTGAGAGAAATTTAAAAACAGTCTTTGTTTTCCAGTACTTCCACGCAGCAAAAAGGAACCTTTATGTGGCGCTTCCTCAGTCTGCTGTAGAACTGAGGAAAACCAGCGATGCTTGAGGGACAGTTCTATGTAAGGGAGAAGAGACAAGTATTGTTTTGGGGGTGATAACCTTTTGTTGTGATTCACAGTACTTCAGGCTAGCTGGTAAATGAACTATTGATTAGAAAAAGGTTGCAGGGAAGAGAAAGAGACGAAAAAGTCAAAGAGTGATTTTTACACAAGCGAACAAACTACCTATATCTTTTGTCCTTGAACATACACAATTGCACACGACGTCACGGAAACGCAAACTGTATCACACTGCTTAAATGGAGCTGTAAATTAACAGTAATCATTTCACATAAAGGAAATCGCAGACTTGATTCGAATGTCCATCTTGTTTATCGGAAACCCTGTATTACACTGGCTGCCCTAGTTTCCACCATAGAGCCAATATATTTATATTTATGTCTTATTTGCATCACTGAAAACCTGAAGTCATTTGAGGGCTTCTACTTGTACTTGGGGATCATTTTTCTGCATCTATAGACATAGTAAAATGTAGTATGACACACAAATTCATGTTTGCATGTATTTGTAGATCGTATTTAACCTTGTTTAATTTTAAAACCAAGTTTTTTCACAATACATAAAAACAAAATGCATGTATTCCTTAATGATCAGCTCAGGGAATCAATTTGTGTGAACACTGCAACAGATCCAGTTTGCTTTGGAATGATAAAAAAAAAACATTATACTGACAATAAAAAAAATACACATCTAAGGAAGCTTTGGGTCTTAAGGTTTTAAAGTCTAGCTGTGAGACACTTGTTGAACACTTGCCTCCAGTCACCGGGTAATCTGTCAAACCAGTTGCTTACACTGCCACAAGACCAAAACAAGAGGCTAAACCTGTCTGTAGGATGAAGCCGCTATGCATAACTCACTACTTCATTAGATATCCAACAGTAATTTGCCTAAAATTTTTGCAAAAACAAATTCAAGGATTTAATGCGAGGCAAGTTGTCCAGAAGAAGTGAGACGCCAATTTATCGTCACCTTACAAATTGGGCTATTTCAAATGACTGGTCTCAATTAAGTTTGACAAGAATATCAAATTCCTTGTTGGCATTTTCCCCCTTGTTTGCAAATTAGATTTAAACTTGACCAAATCTTATTCGTTTGCCGGTATAACTCTGATCTAAAGCATCACTTTGGACTGCAGCCCAGAGAAGACCTCGATTTGATCCAACTCCTGGCAAACTGCATTCAGGTAGCCAGTAAATTGGCTTATCTATTCTGACCCTGGCCGGCTGATTTACAAACAGGCCTCTCTGGCAGCACAAAGCAGCGGATTAGGTTGGTGGTTTATAATGTGACACGCGTGTGTGAGAGACAGAGAGAGAGTGTGAGAGGGAGCGTATGTGTGAGTGTTCGGATCTGGCTGCGATCTTCACCGCGCAATGCGGTCAAAAAACAATTCAGCACGGACAGGTGCTTATCTGTGGACGGGTGTGTGTTTGAGTGAGTTTGCTTGCGCGCCCTGGCGTCACCCTCCCTCCCTCCCTCCCTCACGCAGGAAACACGCTTCTCTCCCACCCCGAGTCTGCTCTGTGAGACGTTCGAGGCCACCGAGTTGTGCAGCGATTTTGTGTTCCCGTCACCACCTTGCGCCCCCGGTCTCGTCCTGCAAGGCACACACCCCCCCACACACACACCCCCACTCCACCCCCATTCCGCCCCCTCCTGTAGCCGGAGGTGCCGCTACACCAGACAGACAGAGCACGCTCCTTCATGTCGAAATCACGCTCAACACCCCGGTGCCACACTATGCCGGTGACGGAGGGAGAAAGAGAAGACGCGGGGACACATCGGTCCCCCCCCCCCACCCCCCCTCCTGGCATTGCGGTAGCTCAGGGAGGACATCGGTAATGCCATTATGCCTAACGATAATCTTGAACTATAAAACATTTCCACCCATTGCAGATAATCCAGGGCAACATCACACCAGCCAAACCACCTGTTTTTTTTTTTTTTTGCGCACCCCTTCTCCCGCACGGACCCATGATGGACTGTATTTAAGTAAGGGAAAACGTTGTATTCAGTCGAGTCTCATTGGCATTACCAGCCCTCAATAATCAATATCAGGAAGTAGCTGATCAGTCGTCACGAATAAACGGTAAAACAACATATAATTTGCAACTAAAGAAAACTTCCACCAGAACTTAATCTAAAATCACATATGCCCATGTAACACGCCAGTTTATTATTTTACCAACAGCTACATGTAGTGATTGAAACCCAATGACAGCATATATATATATATATATATTTATATACTTGAAGCAACAGAGGGAAATGCACTTAATAGCTACAACAGTACGTCAAATATATGAATGGATAAATCAGTAGCCGTGCTCTGATTTAAGAAGCCGTGCACATATCAAGGCTGAAGCCTCCCGTCTGTTTGCTGAGACGCGCAGAGCCGAGCCGTGGCGGCGGTTTGAGGAGGAAAAGCGCAGTAACTCACCGAT